AGTGGGGCCTGTTCACGCTGGAGAAGAGAAGGGTGAGAAGGGGATCCGATTAATACGTATAAGCACATGAAGGGGGAACGTGGGGAGGAAGGGGCCAAGCTCTTCTCRGTGGTGGCCRGTGCCAGGMCAAGGGGCAGTGGGTGCCAGTTGCAGCGCAGGCAGCTCCATGTGSCYGTGAGGAAGARCTTGTTTGGKGTGAGGGTGCCCAGCCCTGGCCCAGGCTGCCCAGGGAGGCTGCGGAGGCTCCTGCTCTGCAGATCTGCCAACCCRCCGGGATGKGASCGGGTGCCCCGAGCTCTGGGTGTCCCTGCTGGAGCAGGGGCTGCRCTGGGTGAKCTCTAGRGGTCCCTTCCAACCTCARCCATCCTGGGATTCTCTAAGGAACTTTTACAGAGCAAATRTTTTAAGTATCACTTTGCATGCAGACTGAAAGGTGTTCCTGTGTTCCTAGTTTACCTTGAACAGCTCTCCACAGGTTTGCCAAGTGATCTCTCAAACTGGTGCTCYGTGGATCCCTTACAGCTGGAGACAACATTTCTACGCCTTGAAGGACAAGCAAGTGCACTTGAGGACAGAAGCAGCAAACAGGGAACTGCTCGGCATACAGGGAAGGCAGAAGCCCTCCTGCCTTCAGCAGGGCTCCCTCGGCACCCAGGGGGCTACCACAGGTCCCACCTCCACCAGGAAGCAGGCGGAGAAGTTCGGCAGGTCCGGGAGAGGGAAGGGGTTTGGTGCCACCAGATCCCATCCCGAGAAAGCTACTGGGCACCCGGGAGGCAGACTGTGGGGATGAAGGGAAGGCGAAACACAACCACCGACCTCAGCCCTTCACAGACACCCACCCGGGAGGCCGCCCATGTCCCATCTCCTAAAAAGAGGAAACGGGAGAGCTCTGATGTCAGATGCTTTGTGAAAGCGGCAAAGAAGCCGTGTTCTGAAGCCATCCCATTTCCGTGCACTTCAGGAGGGCCACAGCCCCCAACTCCAATAGTTTCTGTCCCCACGTTTGCATCGTGGCTCCGCACAGTAAGGAGCACCWACAGCCACCGAAGGTGGACTGCTGTGCAATTACACCTCCGTTTCTTCATTTCATAGATKGCATTTTTTTTTTTAAATGCTAGGAGTACCTATCATATGTTCTGCTTGACATTCTGTATTATAAATCATACTTCAGAGCCTGTGTAATTCCAACTTCCACAGTGCCTTGCCCAAAATCATAGTTTACATGAAGTGGACTAGGCTTCCCTGACAATTTAGCAACTAGAATTTGCAAGGTGAAAGTCTGCACCTCCAGCTTAGTTTCTTGTATCAGCTGGAAGCTCCCAATGCTTGCTTTTTATCAGCTGCATTTCCCAACAATTCTGACCGAAAGAGGAGCCTTTTCCCCTCCCTCCTCGGGCAGCAGGAGGGCACGCTGGCCAAGGTGGACAGAGCTCCTCTCAAGGTTGGGGACACACGCCTAGGAAGCGCAAGTCCAGAGCTCTCCCATTCCCAGCCTCACCACAGCACTACTGATAAACATCAAAAAATTGGCTTCAAAAAAGCCAGCTGACTCCACAAGGCTGTCAAGGTCGACTCTCAAAATTTTATCTGAAAAGTTGGAAGGAAATTGCCACGTAAGAAACCCAAGATTTCTGAATGAATCAGTCAACACCAGCTCAGTTTTGCTTGCAAGGAGCAAGAAAAAACCCCRAACAAACAAACAAAAAAACCCCAAGCGCAAACCAAGCTCACAGCAATGATCTTGCAATTTGTTTTCACTCGGCTGCTGTTTCCTATCTGCTCCCATTAGTCACTCGGAGGTGCCGATACGGCTGCTCCCATCCAGACGCGCTGCTCCCGAGCCGGCACGAAACCAGCCAGATATTAAGTYATGTGGCCACCATATGAAGCAAGAAGTTTCTCAACCTCCCGAGTTCAGACGCAAAAACTCCAAAGAGACAGGGGAAAAAAAGAAAATACAGAGCCCCACACTTCCTCAATAAATCAGAGGATAGTTCCGGAGATTTTGAAATGCAGAAAGATGGAAAAACTGGAATGCGGGTCTTGGACTGCATCTTTGCTCTAATCAAATCCTTTCAAGTTGTTCAAATTTCAGGACAACCAAAAGTCCTCCTAATCAGGCATTTGGGTGGTTTTACTGAATTCAGAAGGAGTGTTTCATGCTGAAGTTAAGGCAATAGCAAGGCTGCAAGTCATTTTTTTTGAAGGGAGCGTTTTTTTTCTTTGTGGAAGACTATATTTAAGCGAGGAAAAAACTCCCCTGCTTAGACATAAGTTCAGTACTTATCTGCTAAAGCGGCGTACGAAGAACGGGGTCCAGCCCAAACCCCAGCGGTGGGGCGCACCGGGTGTCCGTGGGCACCACGCTCGTCCGGCCTCCTGCCCGCCTCTCCCTCAGGAGGAGGATTTCACCCAACGTTTCAGACGTGCTACCAACATTACACTCCCCAAGAAGCTCCAGAGGAGCTCCAAAGGGGCTATCACTCGCACGCTGCCATTAACGCTATGTAAAAGCACAGGCTAAAATACGACAGCAAGTGTCCTTCTGAGCTGYCCTGTTAGAGGCAGCAGCCCTAGACCCCAAAGACAGGGCCAAAAAAAGGGCCGTGGAATTGGTGATTTTGCTGAGCTTTCATGTCAGTGGTTCCAGCCACGACACCCTAGTTCAAAACCACCAGGTAGTTACTAAAAACGCTGCTGCGAGCTGGTTTCCTCCCCAAAAAAAGAGCAGCAACCACCGCACACACTGCGCTCGCCGGCTCGTGCTCGGCTTCGATTCCACCTTTCAGCCTCATAAACAGGATGCGACGCGTTAAACC